ATACTGATGACACATGGCCCCACACCCCCTGATGACCCCACCCAGCGGCCTCATATAGATGTTAAACAGCACTGGGGAGATAATCGACCAATTAAGTTTTTAAATAGTTCAACTGGAATGCCATCACCTCCACTGGACTTGTTGTTAGCTAGGCTTTCTAAGGCCCACTTGACTTCACTCTCCAGGATGTCTGGCTCAAGGTCAGCAACTACATTGTCTGGGTTGTCCGGGATATCCAAATCTTTCTGATATATTTCTCTGTGTATTCTTGCCACCTCTTCTTGATGTCTTCTGCTTCTGTTAGGTCCCTCCCATTTTTGTCCTTTATCATGTCCATCTTTGCACAGAATGTTCCTCTAATATCTCCAATTTTCCTGAACAGATCTCTGGTTTTTCCTTTTCTGGACAGCCACTTTGCTTTCTTGCATTTCTTCTTCTTTGGGATGGTTTTTGTTGCTGCCTCCTGTACAATTTTACGAGCCTCTATCCAAAGTTCTTCAGGCACTCTGTCCACCAAATCGAGTTCCTTAAATCTGTTCTTCACTTCACTGTGTATTCATAAGGGATTTGGTTTAGATTATACCTGAGTAGCCCAGTGGTTTTTCCTACTCTCTTCAGTTTAAGCTTGAATTTTGCTATGAGAAGCAGATGATTGTAGAATCTGCTACAAGACACTATAATCTTCAACAGTGTACCACTGGGGGAGGATTCTTTTTTTCTCCCAGCTCATTTTAGGGTTGGAAATCAACCCCTATCACGTTGCTTTTCTCCCTGCATGGAAGACATACAGGTTGGTATATCTCCCTTAAGATGAAGAAGCGCATAGCCATGTTGAACAGAAAAACAGCCTCAGGGGAAAGGATTATGCAAACAACTGCCAGCCAACACAATTCTGATGCAGCCTGCAGCATTTTCTTTTCTTATTAAATCATTGTAGGGTATGTTTAAGGTGAACTTTATGGAATGAAATCCATATACCTGCTAATGAATGGTAAGTTACTCTCTGGCATCAGCTGTTGGGTAGAAGTAGTGGAACTGTCCTTGAAATAATGTATGAATAAATATCCCCCACCCATCTTTGGCTTTCTTTTAGTTTCTCTGCCACAAATTTGCTTTAATTTACTTTTAGGAAATCATTATTTGTAAATTAATTTACAAAACAATGTGCTGTTTTGCTAACTACAGAATATGTATTTTTGCTGAACACAAACAAGCTTATTTTAGCCTGTATGCATTACACTGAAGCTTTTAAAAATGCTTATTATGTTGATTATTTTTAAGAATAATATACATTAGAAGTTAATATACATTAGTAGTATAAGTAGAGTCTACATTGTAGGGTTTAATGCTAACATAATTCATGCACTACCTTTGTTACTATCCAAATAAAGCAGGGATGGGCAATTGTGCCCCTTCAGATGTTTTGGGACTGCACCTCTGGCTATGCTGACTAGAACTGATTGGAATCTGAAAAGCCACAGGTGCTCACTCCTGCATTAAAAGGACTTCAAAGTGCTCATCCATATACAAGACAGGATCAGATCCATAGATACTTCACCTGTAAAAATCTGTTTAAGAACAGAATTACAACTTTCTAATGTATTAACTATATAAAAATAAGTAAAAGGCATTCAGAGTTAGTATAAGAACCTAGTGTCTTCATTTTCATATATCCCTTTCACTCAGTTGTATTATACAGGACAACAATCCTACTTACTTTATGGTATAGAGCCATTAAACTCCAAAGGACCAGATCTACTTTCTAACTGCAGGGTGCCACACTACAAATTATCCTAGTGCTATTATGTTACATATTAATTTTTTTGCCCTACAGAAACCAGCAGTGAGAATTATTTCTATGTCCTGATACACTGTAACCAAGCTTTTCATTCATGCCTTTTTAAAAACGCAGTGCAAGTGGTTGTGTAAGTTCTTATAAAAGTTCCACTTTTAACTCTGCAGTGAAGCTGACAAGGAGATCTTCCTACTAAAACTTACTAAAAGCAAATCACTTAGAGGTGGGGCAGATACTCAGGTGAATAAAATCATATATATCCCCACTTATGTATTTGTATTTCTGGGCTGGTAAAACAGCTCCATCTACAGTGGCTCTCAACTTTGTGTCCCCTGATGGTCTTGGACTAAAACTCCCAGAAGTCTTCAGGCCAGGATTTCCATGAGCTGTAGTCCAAGAACATCTGGAGACCCAAGGCTGGAAACCACTGAATGGACCTGAGGACCCTTGCTCTCACATAGCAACCATTTATGTACTGAAGTAATATAGACATAGCAGTGGATGAAACTTCAGTCATATGACTATACTTTAAGAGGGACAGATAGCATGCTCACCAGCATGAATACGGTATGTTCTTCACATGCTTTCTGTGGTGGCAACTAAGCCCCACTCACTCAAATGATACTTTTGTGATCCAAGATACTTGAGTACTATTGGGTAGAGGTGCTTAGAGTGCAGAAACTCAAATTGCGAGACATATCAGTCAAAAAGGAAATATTATTTCTAAATATTATTTTTAAATATTGTGTGTGTTCTGTGCTATCAAGTCGGAACTAAAATAGAGACCATTACAGGGATTTCAAGGTAAGTGAGATATTTAAGGAGTGGTTTTACCAGTTCCACTCCTCCAGTGAGTTTCCATGGCCAAGTGGGGATTCAAACTCTGTTCTCCAGCGTCCTGGTCTGTCAATCTATCCACTACACCACACTGGGAATCCATTTAAAAATGTTAGTGGCTAGCAAATCTATTTAATGGCATATTGTTGTGATTTTGGAGTTAAAGTCCTATTGCCTTTCAAAGCTGTTTTCAACATGAAAGAAAGCTTGACTGGACTTTTATTCCGTAGTTGATGACAGAGCAGAGAAAGGTGTATTGTACTATTTTATATCTGGAAGGTTCCTGGAAAAACAGTGTACTGCAATAGCATTTAAATGTCACAATAAAGTTATTAAGGTTTGCAAACTGAACAGGACAACTGCCCAGCATTCTAAAAAAAATATCCAGTTGTAAAATCACTTATGATTTTAAAACTTGATCAATCAGTATCTTGGTCTTTCAAACATGCATAGAAATTTTGATGTTGTAGTAGTTCTTACATAGTACCAAGGGCCAAAAAGGTCACAAAAAAGAAGTATTGTGGCACTGAATTCATTTTCAAACACTTTGTGAAACCGAGGAAGTTATCAACAGAAAACAATTGCAGGCAAAAGAAATCTAGAGTTTCCTTCAAACAAGGGAATGAACTTTATTACACAGAGTAAGACCTCTCTCTTCCTGTGTACCTCTTCCTTTCCTGAACACTACAAAAACACACTTTGAAAACACACTATAATTAACCAATCATCTGTTATCTGAAAACAGAAAACATTTTTTGAGTAGTCTTTTCTTTCAAAATATTTTACTAGTCACAAATATTCCAAAAAGCATGTTCACCTTTTCATTACAAAACCTATGTTTAGACACTTTATCAGCGACAAGCCAAGGTAAAACTATATACTGTGCTCTCTTTAAATAATGTGTTCCATGCCATGTTTTGCCTACATACAAAGTGGACACAGAGGACTAATAAATGCTTCTCTCCTTAGAAGACCCTTAAAAGCATTCACTGTAAATCTATTCAAGATCAAAACACAAAACACACACTAATAAGCCTGTCAACTTCTTATAATCAGGAGTGAGGTTCACATGCTGCAGAGCAGTGTTAACACTAAATTTTGAACAATGACCATATGCACCAACCAAGCTCCTTAGAGAAAGAATATTATGACATTTAATAATATATTTAAATAAATACTATTTAAGAACACATTCTCTACATTAGAGAATGGGATTAGGAGCAGACTTACAGATGAGTACTGATATTGCACTGTGACACAATCTGTTGAGCAGTACATTAAAATAATTTGTACAGCAAACTTGCATCCAGATTTCTAATCTCTATATGCATACAATGACTAGTGACCAGGTAGGGTAAAATGCATTACATGTAAGTTGGGAGTGTCCATAAGCCAGCCTAGATGAATGTCATAAGGAATGGATTCAGAAACATAGAAACATTGCAATACAGCAATGATCACAGAAATGCATGTTGGAAGACAAAATCATTATTATGATCCTCAGTTCACAATAATGAATAGAATGCTTCCTCTCCCCCTCTTCCCAGCAGCAACTGTGCAAATTACAGGGGACCTATTAAGCCCGACAACAGGTACAGTAATGCACGCAGAGTGTGGGTGTGCATGTAGGAGGTGGACTGAGCATGTACGTGCCCCTTTGAGAACCTGCAATTCACTGGTAAGCATGAGATAAACAGGAGTGTGGCGGCGAGGGGGGGGGAAGGAAAGCGAGGCAGAAAATATACAAGATTGCTAGGTACGTATCCGGGTGCTCTGGGCGAGCGTTCATGCTTTATCAGTTTGGAGGGCAGGGCCAGGCAGGTGGCTCACCTATGTAACCCAATGCAAGCCTCTCGGAGAGGGAGGGCGAGGAAAGAGAGCTAGCCAGCCCCTGCAGGGCTCTGAGAAAGCGAAGCGGGGGCGGAAGAAGACCAGAAAACCTGAACAAGAGGAAACGGGATACATCCCCCCCCCGCTTTTCTTATTTCCTTTCTCCCTCCACTCCCTCCATGCTCTCTTGAGAGTTACATGAAACGGAAAGGTGGTGGTGGTGGTGGTGGGGTAGAGAAAGAAACCAGCCGGGAGGTCTCACTTACGTGTAGATGATGGACATGAAGTGCATGAGCCACAACACCAGGAAGAGAATAAGCCCGAAGATGGCGAGTCCCTCCAGGGCCAAATCCAGCACCGCCATTCCCGCCTGGAAGGGAAAAGGCGTGGGGAGAGGAGGAGGAGGAGGGGGTGGTGCAGCGAATCAAGAGAGGAAGTCTTCACACAAGCTGAAGCGGCGGCGGCGGCGATAGACACGATCCAGGCAGGGCCCCTCGCCACTCGCCGGCTGCCCTCACGTCGCCCCTCACACTGCGAGACCCTGGCGTCCGTCCGTCCGCCTTCCTTTTCTCTCTCTCTCTCCCTCGGTCCTCCCTTCCCTTCGCTCCGCTCGTCGCCTGCTTNTTCCTCCCCCCCCCCCTCCCTGCTCTCCAGGCCGCTCCCTCCCTTCACGGCAGCGCCTCTCTCGGCTCGCGCTTTTCCTGGCGGCGGCGGCTTCTGCTGCTGCTGCTGCTACTACGAGGGCTCTCTCTCGCTTAGGGCCGCCGCGCGCGCGCTCCCCGTCTCTTCAC